CGGCGCAGGAGGGGAAGACCCTCTATGAGATGAATTTACTTGGTGACTGGGGTAATCGGGATGGGTGTGTCAGAGGCAGTGTAGTTGGCGCAGGATAGAGCAGGGTTTAGGGCTGTTGTGCATAGGGTCGCTATGAGTCACAAACGACTCAATGGCGCATAACAACAACAACAACATCATGGAACAGATTATCAATTATTTTTGTGCAAATTCAAATGGAAATGAAAAAAATAGGAGCAAATGCACAGGGAACAAAATATTACCTTGAATCTATTGCAGTTGGATTTAAAAACTATCTTAAGAATAAATTTGATACATTGAACACTAATGACCAAATACCAGATGAGTTGTAGAATGACATCAAGGGTATCATCCCTGAAGAAAGCAAAAGGTCATCATAAAGATGAGAGAAAAAGAAAGGACCAAAAGGGATCTCAGATGATACTCTGAAACTTACATAAGAATGTAGAGAGGCCAAAACAAAGTGAGTAAATGCTGAAGTAAGAGAGATGAACAAAGAGTGAGAAAACAAAGCAAAATATTATAAAGAAATTGTGGAGAAAGCTAGAAGGAAATAACCTGCTCAGCATTTCTCAAGCTAAAAGAACTGATGTACAAAGTCAAGCTTTGAGTTGCAATACTGAAGGATTCTATGGTCAAAATCATGAATGATGCAGCAAGCATTGTTGGGTTTTTTTTTTTTTAAAAAAAAGGAATACACAATTACTATACCAAAAAGAATTGGTTGACATGGAATCGTTTCAGAAAGTAGGATATGATCAAGAACCAATAGTACTGAAGGAAGAAGTCCAAATTGCACTGAAGACTTTGTCAAAAAGTAAGGCTCCAGGAATTGATGAAATACTAATTGAAGTGTTTCAATGAACAGATGCAGTCCTGGTCATGCCCACTGATCATGGCAGGATATTTGGAAAAGAGCTACCTGGTGAACTGACTGGAAGAGGCATTTGTTCCCATTCCACAGAAAGATGATCCAACAGAATCTGTAAATTTTTTAAAAATATTATTAATATCACATGCAAGTAAAATCTTGCTGAAGATTATTCAAAAACAATGGAAGCAGCACATCAACAAGGAACTGCCAGAGATTTAAGCTGGATTTTGATGTATGAGGATTATTTTTGTCCTTATTAGATAGATCTTGGCTGAAAGCCAACTGTACCAGAAAGGTGCTTGTTTTTTTTTATTGACCATTCAGAGGCATTTGTTGATCTAAACACATTACGTACAATATTGAGAAGAATGGGAATCCCAAAATATTGTGCTCATGTGAAACCTCTTCAGAGACTAAGAAGCTGGTGTCTGAACAGAACAAGGAAACACTGAATAGTTTATTGGGAAACATGTACATCCTTTCTCCACAGATATTTAATCTGTATGCTGAGACTACATGAACAAGAATAAGGCATCAGGATTGAAGGAAGACTCTTCTTTCAATAACTTCAGTAACTCTTCTTCATAACTCTTGTGTTATACAGATGATACAACCTTACTTGCTGAAAATAAAGAAGATTTGAAGCACTTGCTGCAGAAGATCAAAGATACAGCCTTCAATATGGATTACATCTCCACGTAAAAAAATCAAAATTCCTTACCACTGGACCAATAGGCAACAGCATGATATATGGAGAGAAGATTGAAGTTGTCAGTCATTTTATTTTACTTGATCCCACAATCAATACCCAAGGTAGCAGCAGTCAAGAAATCAAAAGATGTGTCACATTGGAGAAACCTGCTGTCAAGGACTTCTGTAAAGTGCTTAAAGAGCAACAATGTAAGTTTAAAAGATGTGCCCGATACAAATATTTTCATCTGAAAGTTGAACAGTGAATAGGATGAGAGAAGACTTATTGATGCCTTTGAATTGTGGCATAAGAAAAAAGTATTAAATAAACCATCAACTATGTCACTGAAAAGCAAACACATCTATCTTGGAAGAAGTGCAACCAGGATTCTCCTTAGAGGCAAGGATGGTAGAGAAAGAGAGGAAGACCTTAACCAGATAGATTGACACTGTGACTGTAACAATACACCTAAGCATGTCAGAGATGGTGAGGATAGAACAAAAGAGGGTGACAGTCAGTCTGTTATTAATAGTGTTCCTGTGAGTTGTAGTTGACGTAATGACACCTAATAACACAATTGTGTTTATGTGAAACCTAGACCTAGACCAAGAGGCAGTTGTCTGAGCAGAGCAAGGCAACACTGCATGGTTTAAAAGCAAGAGATAGGTGTGTTGAGGCTATATCCTTTCTCCCTACCTATTCAGTCTGTGTACTGAAAAAATCATATGACAAGCCAGACTTTATTAAGAAAATGTAGCATCAGGATCACCAGAAGATGCACCAACCATAACCTTATGCCGATGGCACAACCTTACTTGTTGAAAATGAGGATGACGTCAAGCACTTGCGAGGTAGACTACAGACTTCAATATGAGTTACATCCCAACATCAAGAACACAAAATCCTCACCACTGGGCCAATAGACAAGATCATGATAGATGGGGAAAAATTGACATTGTCAATGATTTCATCTTACTTGGATTCACAGTCAGAACCCTTGTTACTAGTAATCAAGAAGTAAAAAGGCATATTACATTGGGTGAAGCTCTGGTGGCTTAGTGGTTAGAAGCTGTGCTTCCAATCAGAGGTGCATAGTTCAAGTCTGTCATTTGCTCCATGTGAAAAAGGTAAACAATCTCCTCCTGTGAAACTTATTACCTCTAAAAAACCACTGGAGGTTCAGCTATGGGTTGGATCCGACTTACAGTATATAACAACATCACATTTGAAAAATCTGGTGTCAGGGACTTCTCCAAAGTGCTGAAAACTAAGAACATCCGTATAAAAACTAAGGCATGCCTGATCCAGGCCACAGTCTTTTTATTTACTTGCTATGCATCTGAAAGTTGGACAACTAAGGAAGACAGAAGAAGAATGGATGCTGTTGAATTGTGGTGTTGGATAAGAATGCTCACTATCTCATAGACTGTCAAAATAACAAATAAGTATATCTTGACAGAAGTGCAACCAGAGGCCTCTTTAGAGGTAAGGATAGTGAGGCTTCATCACACATACTTTGAGCATGCTGTTAAGAGGGCCTTCTACTTGGAGGATGACATCATGCTTGGAAAAGTGAAGGTGCAATGTAAGAGAGGAAGGCCTTCAACAAGGTGAATTGACATGGTGACTATAACAAAAATCTCAGTTGTATTAGAGATGATGAGGATGACACAGAATAGGGCCAGGTTGCACCAAAAAAATAATGAACATGTAAAACATTACACAACATGAGTGACCCTGGAGGATGTAATGCTGAGTGAAATGCCAGGACCGACAGATGAGGCTGGGAGGAGAATAGGAAAAGAGTGGATAGATAATGAACACTGCATTGGAACAGGTAAGGGAGAGAACTGTTTAAAAGGAATATATGATTAGGCATTATATGTAAGACAACAGTCCAGAATAAGAGGTACATTGCAAAGAGGACTACAGACAGGGGAGAGGAACTCTGGGAAGGGAGGAAATGATGCAACAATGAATAAATATTTAAAAAGAAAGTGGACTGGGGAAGGGGAAAGGAGAAAAATGAACAATGAATGACTGAAAATGCAACTTTTCTTTAAATTTTGTTAAAATAAAAATTAAAATTTAAAAAATGTTTTAAAAAGAAATAAAATAAAAAGTAGAGCAAGATACAGCTGTGTTGTTTATGAGGTTATGATGAGTCACAGTTGATTTCACAGCATATAACAGCCATAACAACACAATAGCTGTAGGAAGAGAGAGCTAGGAGTGAGCATGATGTCTCCATCTTGCCCAAGCCCCTTTGTCTGTAGTCTGATTTCTCCTCGTCTTAACTGGTTTCCCTCATATCCTGGTGAGACTTTGTCTAGAGTTGGTGACACTCCCTCCACTGACAGATTTCTCGCTGAAGTGGTCAGAATCCTGATCGGCTGCTTCCAAGGCACAGGAGAGCAGTGAAGCCTAGGAGAGGGCATTCAGGTTGAGCAGCTTGGCCAGAGTTGACACAGCTATCCAGCCTGACTCCCCAAGGCTGCAAAGAGCTTCAGGGGTCCCCCTTAATTTCTCAATGATGTCAGAACAAAAGGTACCACAGCTGGGCAGAGTTAAAGGAACAAGAAGTTCTCAGTTTGGAAAGTTAGAGTTCAAGATTAGGGCATCACATCCAGGAGATGGTCATTTCTTGTTGTTACATTCCTTGGTACTGTTTGGGTTATGTGGGATTTTCACATGGTGTTTGTCTCCCTTTGTGCTTGTGTGTGTGTATGTGTGTGTGTTGTAATTCTCTTATAACTCAGAAATTAGTAGGTTTAAGAAAGAAACACACTGTATCCAAATTATTGTTAAGTACCAAGTTGGAACCAACCCATAGCTGACCCTCCAGTGGATTTTTATAGGCAGTAAATTGCACAGCATGAAATTGCCCATCTTTCTTCCAAAGAGCAACTGCTGAATTCGAACTACGTGCCTTTAGGTTGACAGTGCAACTCCTTACCACTATGTCGCCAAAGCTCCCTATATCAAAATAGGGTCATGTTATTAACATGAGGTTAATTTGGAGAGAAGTTAATAGCAGGGTGTGCAGCCAGCTAGTGCTCCCTGATTGATAGACCACCAATTCTAACATGCTTTCACCTCCCAAGAATATGAGCTGCTCTCTCCTTTGCTGTCTTTCTAGGGATTTAGGGCAGTGTTACTTTGCCTGTAGTTTCCCAGCTTCCCTTCCTTCGCACCCAATCTCCATGCTTTTGGTCTCTGTGGCCTGTCTTGTGTTCTAGAATACAGGAGAGGCTGTGTGAACACGTAGCCTCTCTCAGCCTCCAGCCTCTTCGGGAACATGGTGCTGCCTGCTGGCTCCCTGCCACCTCCTAGGCAGCATGGTGCACATGAAAGGGTGCTGGGGCCCGTACACCTTTGCCCTGCTGACCCAGGCCCTGTCCATGCTTCCCACAGGGACTGCATCATGCTGTGCTGTCTCAACAGTGGCACCAGCTTCGTGGCCGGCTTTGCCATCTTCTCCGTCCTCGGCTTTATGGCATATGAACAGGGCGTACCCATTGCCGAGGTGGCAGAGTCAGGTAAGTTTGCCAAGGATGGGGATATGAAAAAGCAGGGAAAAGGGCAAGACCTTAAAGAATGATCATAATGAAAGTAAGGTTCCCCCTCATTCTTGATTTATGTGCAAGGAAGTAGCTCCATTCATAAAGTAGGAACCTGGGAATTATCTGGGAGAGAAACTTTGACACTTCCCAAACCCTGAATGAACAGCATCTCCACCCCTACAGATTCTCCTTCCCTCCAGCTCCCCATCTACCCACCATCTGTACCAGTGTTGTTTCCTTGGTGACCGCAGGAACCTTGCACCTGCCTCACAGCCACTACTCTTGGCCCCTGTTCCAGTCTCTGTCCTGCCGGGTGAGATTTTAGCCCAAATCTCAGCATGGGTTTCTCAGATGGCATCTCCATTGGCACAGCAGCATAGCCTCCTGTCTTCCCTCCCCACATGTGTCCCAGACTTACTCTGCTGAGCTTTCACTTCTTGTGATGTCTCTCCTGCCTCTTGCCTCCTGCCACAGGGGTGAGCCTCTGCTGGTCCTGCCCTAGGGTCAGCATGAGTGTGGCAGCATTATGTGCAGCCTAGCATGCATTTGTACTGACACCAAGGTGGACCATTAGTCACCAAAGTGAGCATGCAAACTAGTGACGAATCTTATTGCTATAGCGGGTACTTGAATTCTGGAAAAGGAAAGATATATTAACATTCAGAATATTTTTAAAAGTTTAAAAAGCTTTGATTTTTACATATTGAATGGATAAGTCTAGGCTCAGATAATTATAAATAGAATTTTGTACTACAAGAAAACATCTAGTAAGATAGTTTGTCATGAGAAATAGGAGGAGTGAAGCATCCTGGTTGGGCCCATTTCTGAGGGCTGGGACTGGTTTTCCTGTATCCCTAGTGACTAAGAGTGCTGGCTTATGTGTACAGAAATAAGAAAACCACACCATTGTGGCTTCCATAGGGAGCTTGGGCGGCCTACTTGTAAGAAGCTGCACTGAATCCCAAAGGAATGCAGTTCAGATCTGTCAGCTGCTCCACGAGAGAAGGATGGGCAATCTCCTCCTATGCAGTTAACTGCTCTGAAAACCTGTTGGTGGGTCAGCTATGGGTCAATTCTGACTTGAAAGCATACAACAACAACAACCTCCTTGGTTAGTGCAAGGAGTACCTCTCATCCATTATGACAGTCTCAAAACAACATTGAGGATGCCCTGCTGTAGTGACAATTCTGGTCCAGGAGTGACTGCTAGCATAAGCAAGGAGACATCTCTCATATCACTGAGTTTGCCCAGTCAGTGGGTATGGAAACTGCAATAGGAAAATGACTACCTAGCTTTCCTGTCACATGGAAGGTCTGTCATCCTCTTGACTGTGTACAGTCAGAGGTAGAGACGGTCTCTACCAAAACCAGGAGTCCAGCACTAGATCATAAAATGGCAGTATGACAGGACTCTGTCATCTAGTGCCCACACTGGACAGGGGCAGGAACGATCTCATTCATCATTCATGGGTCTCCCTGCCATCCTCTGAGGTGCTTCTTTGCTGCCCTCATTTTACACTGAGAAGACTGAAGCACAGACAGATAACTTCATGGATGTGTATCATCTAGAAGGGACAGAGCTGGGATTTAATCTTCCACAGAGTGTTGACCCTGCTGACTTTTCAGTTAGTTCAACACTATGTCACCAGGACTTCAATTAGTCTTGATACAAGTTATAAAGCTTGAAAATATTTTTTAAGAAACAATTGTTAAGGTTTTAAAATCTTCTTTTGTTTTTATTTTACCTTTGCCATTTCTTTTCTACTTACCTTAGGTTTTATGTGCTGCTTTTTCTAGCTTCTTAAGATAGAAATGTAGATCTTTGACTTTAAGTATTTAAAGTTTGAAATTTGTAAGCACTACTTTAGTTGCATCTTGATTTTTGCTAGTTATGGTTTCATTGCCTAACAGTTTGAAATATTTCTTCTTTGATTCCTGAGGTACTTAAATGTATTTGGTACTTAATTAATGAGTCACAAATGACTTGATAGCGCATAACAATAACAATTCATAGTTGTTTTGCAACTTCCTGGGTATCTTTTCTAACAAACTCCTTATTTAATATATGGCAACTTGAGAATATATTCTGTAATATTTCAATCTTTTGAAACTTATTTAAAACCTGTTGTTGTTAGGTGCCATCAAGTCGAGTACGGCTCATAGCATCTAACCGGCACCATCCTCACACTTCCTAACACACAAGAGCCCATTGCAGCAGTCACTGTGTTAATCCACCTGGTTGAGAGTCTTCCTCTCCTTTACACCCTTCCCAAAACCATGCTATTCCAAGGAATAGCACCTCTTAGCAACATGGCCAAAGTATATGAGGCAAAGCCTCATCATTCTTACCTCCAATAAGCACGCCGGCTGCACCCTGTCCAAGACATAGCTGTTCTCTTGGCCACACATGGGATGTTCAGTGCTCTTCTCGAACACCACAGCTCAAAGGCATCAATTCTTTTTCTGTCATCCATATTTGTTGTCTAGCTCTCAGATGCATAGTAAGTGATCAGAAAGATTATGGCCTGAATCAGACTAGTATATGGTTTATCCTGGTGGATGGTGCTTTTATATCTGAAACTAATGCACACTCTGTAGTTGTTTTAGCAATGTCAATCAAGTCAATTGAGCCAGTAGTGCTGCTCAGATATATATGTCCCTGCTGAAGTTTTATGTCAAGTCCTACTATCAGTTAATGAGGAGTGGTACACAGTTTCTGCTTTAACTGTGCATTGATCATATTATCTCCTTTTGTTCTGTCATTTTTGTTCCATACATTATAAATTTGTGAGAAGGTGCAAACACACTTGACATTGTGTCTTTCCAGCAAGTTTGCCCCTATTATCTATCATTAGAAAGTGTTTCTCTTTTTTCTCATTATTAAAACATTTATTTTGAGATAAACTGTATCGCATGACTTTTTTAAAGTTTTTTATAGCATATTCTTCCCATTTGATTTTTTTCTCATTCATTCATTGTTGCCCACTCTTCCTCCCAACTTTGCTTTTCTCTTTGAAAAGAAAAATAATTCTTTCATTGTTATATGATCTCCACCCCCCCACCCCACAGTCCACAGTCCACTTTACTATGAATTTCTTTTTCTGGAATCTTGTCATGAAAATAATACCTAATCATATATTCCTTTTAAACAGTCCTCTCCATCATGTTTTTCAAATCAGTATACATTATTTATTCCCTCTTTTATTAGGTCCCCCCCCAATCCCAGTGTCAGTCCCATTTTACAACAGTGGCACTATGCAGTATTTGTCTTTTTGTGACTGTGATATTTCATTCAACATAATGTCCTCCAGGGTCACCCATCTTGTGTATTTCATGAGTTCCTTGCTTTTCAATGCAGCATAGTATTCCATTGTTTGAATATACCACGGCTTCTCTATCCATTAGTTTGTTGATGGGAACTTGGGTTATTTCCAACTCTTTGCTATTGTGAACAAAGCCACTATAAACATGGGTGTGCATATATCTGCTTGGATGGTGGTTATGGTTTCTTTGGAGTATATTCCCAATAGTGGAATTGCTGGGTCAAGTGGGATTTCTGTTTGCAACCTTTTGAGAAAGCACCATACTGCCTTCCATAGTGGTAGCAGCATTTTACACTCCCACCAACAGTGAATAAGGGTTCCATTTTCTCCACAGTTTGGCCAGCATTTGTTGTTTGCTGCTCTGTTGAATTTTGCTATTCTTACTGGTGTGAGATGGGTCTCATAGTTGTTTTGAAAGTGTTTCTTTTTATATACAATGCTTTGAATTGGAATATTCTTTATCTGATAGTAATATAGCTATCCCAGCATCTTATGACTATTATTTGCATGATGTAACTTTTTATATTTTCTTACTGTGGATCTGTTGTATCTTGAAATTTGAAATGTCTCTTTTCCCCAACTTATATTTGATTCCACTTTTTAATCTATCTGATAATATCTTCTTTTTTTAAGAAAACAAATATACAATTTATTGACAACAGTTACAATAATCTTCTATAAAACTCAGCTTTTAATTTTTTCACCACACTCGCCCATCCCTGGTAAATTCTAGTGAACTTTGATTTTTAAACATATGCCTTTTTAAAGAATGTAATTGAGTCATAACTGGGTCATCGACAACCTGCGTTATGCAGATGACATAGCCTTGCTTGCTGAAACTAAGGAGGGCCTGAAGCACTTGCTGTAAAAGTCAAGGACTGCAGCCTTCAATATGGATTAAAGCTCAACATCAAGAAAACAAAAATTCTCACCACTGGGCCAGTTGGCAGCAGCATGATAGATGGTGAAGAGATTGAGATTAACAGCTTTAGTTTGCTTGACTCTACAATCAACACTCTTGGTACCAGCAGCCAGGAAATTAAAAGACAAATTGCATAGGGAAAGTCTGCTGTTAGGGACCTCTCCAAAGTACTGAAGAGCAACGATGTCAGTCTGGAGACTAAGGTTCACCTGATCCAGGTCATAATCTTCCCAATTACTTCCTGTGCCTCTGAAAGCTGGACAATGACTAGGGATAATAGACGGAAGACTGATTCCTTTGAGTTGTGGTGCTGGAGAAGAGTATTAAATATACCACAGACAGGAGAACAAATAGGTTTGTCTTGGAAAGGGTGAAACTGGGGTGTTCCTTGAAGGCAAGGATTCTGAAGCTTCATCCAACATACTTCAGGCATGTTGCAAGGAGGAACAATGCAAGAGAGAAAGAACCTCAAAGAGATGGACTGACTCAGTGACTGCGATAATGAGGTTAGGTGTGTCAATAAGGTTGGCACAAAATAGAGCAGGTCCAGAGCTGTTGTATATAGGGTTGCCATGATTCACAAGCAACCCGACAGCACATAACAAACAACAAATTAAGTCAATATTTTCCCATTTTGTGAGCAGAAGAAAAATTAGATTATTCCCTCCCATAAAGATTTACAGCCTTGGAGATCTAATGGAGAGTCACAGTGAGTGGGAATCCATCCAGCA